AGACTATATGTATATAAAATTATAGTTGACATACAATATTATTCAACATCAGCTTCAGAAATACAGTGCGGTGGTCAGGCCTCCACACCGACTATGATGTGGTCTCCCCAACAAGACATGAGTCCATCTGGCCCCCTAAGAAATATTTGCAACATTATTGATTATATTCCCCAGACTGTCTTTTTCTATCCCTGAGGCCATATTGTAGTTACCAGTTTGTATTGTCTCATCCCTTCCCCTTCTCCTTTATCCCCACCCCCTCCCAACTAGCAACCCTCAGTTTTTTCTCTGTGTCTGGACATATTTTTAAAACCATTACTATTCCTCTTTCACAGAACTTAAATTCTTCTGGATGGAGGGGAGATGGGAAGAAGATAAAATACAAAAATAAGCAAGATAGGTTTAGATAGTGATAATAATTATGAGGAGAATAAAATGGTATGTGTAAAAGAGAGTCTCTTACAGGAAGGGTAGCAAGGAGGTGTCCTTGTGTCGGTAATATTTTGAGTTGAGACCTAAAGGACAAGAAGGAGCTGACCAGGTAAAGATCTGTGGGCCAAGTATTCGTGACAGAGGTGATAGCAAGTGCAAAGGTCCTGAGGTGGAAACATACTTGGCATTTGAGGGACTGAGAAAAGGTCAGGGTAGCCAGAGCATTGTGCTTGAGGTACCAATGAGGCTAGATGGGTATTGTGGGTTGAATTGTGTCCCCCAAAAAGATATGTTCATGTCCTCACCCTGGTACCTGTGGATATGACCATATTTGGAATACAGGTCTTTGCAGATGGGCTTAGGCTAAGATGAGGTCGTGCTAGCTGAGGGTGGGCCCTATTCCAATGACTAGTGTCCTTATAAGAAGAGGGAGATTTGGACACAGACACACAGGGAGAACGCCATGTGGTGTGATGGAGGCAGAGACCAGAGTGATGCATCCATAAGCCCGCGAATGCCAAGGATGGTCGGCAACCACTAGAAGCTAAGCGAGAGGCATGGGATGGTTTCTCCCTCAGAGCTTCGGAGGGCATCAAGTCCCTCGTAATTCTGGACTTCTCACTTAAGGAACTGTGCGAGAATCAGTTTGTGTTGTTTTAAGCCACGCAGTTTGTGGTACTTCGTTACAGCAGCCCAGGAAAGCAATACTACGGTTAAGCGAGGACTGGCGCATGTTGGGTTTTATTGGCCACGGTGAGATTTCCCTCAGTGTATTGGCGTTATTTTCTGAGGTGCAGTGTGGAGAGCTGACATGCTGAGACATAAGCCTGGCTATACCAGGAGGTGCTTGTTTTCCCAGGCAAGTGACATTGGTTAACCCGTCCTCCTGACTCACTCAGCAAACATACGTCTTGAGTCCCCTCTGTGGAGACACTGTACCTGGCTTCGGGCACCAGAAGGGACCCAGAGTCACTTTTTACTCCAGAGCGGGGATTAGCAAACCACGTCCCATGGGCCAAATCTAGCCCAACTGGGTTTTTTTGCAAATTTTTAAAAAATGAATTTTAAAAAAATTCACCCAACATAAACTTCCCTATTTTAAAGTGTATAATTCAATGGTTCTTGGTATATTGACAATGGTGTACTACTGTCACCACTATCTAATTACAGAATATTTCTATCACCCCCCCCCCCAAAAAATAGCCCTGTACCCACTGGCAGTCACTCTGTCTAGAAAGACTGTGTGAGGGTACTTATTTCCCATTATTTCTCCTGACATTGAGTGTTATCATAAATTTTTAGACGTTTCCTATTTGCTAGTGAAGACATAGCATAATTGATGGAATTTGGGTTTCTTTGATCACTAGCAGGGTTGATAATTTTCATATACCTAGTGCTTCCCTATATATTGTCTGAATTGCCTGTTCCCATTTTGTCCATTTCTCTATTTGGCTCATATTTTCTTATTATTTGATACGAGTACTTTATATTAACTTTGTCAGTTAATGTCATAGAACTGCCATGCATGTGATAGATATTTTTCTGGCATATTTTTGCTGCTAAACTACGTGGTCTGGCATTTCTGCTAAGGGATAAGCAGCTTCTGATTTTGAAGGGGTCACCTCCTGTCAGTCTTTTTCAGATTTCTGTTTTCAGAAGCTCTTTTCCTGTTTCCTGGTTATTAACATGTTATATATAATCCTCATAATAGCCTGCAAAATAGCCAGGATGACTTCTAAATTGCAGATGATGACATTCTGTGAATTTACCCAAGACCACCCAGCTTGTAAGTGACCAAGCCCTCCCTTAGCCCAGGTTGGTCTGACAACAGAGCCCTCGCCTCCCTTGGTGTCACTCTCCCCGGGGACCTCCTTCCACACCTAATCCAGCAAATCTTTTTGTGTAGGGGGTAGGTACTCAGCACAGTGCTGGGTACTGTAGAGGAATACAGAATCCTTGCCTTAAAATGGAGAGAGAGGTCTGATACACGTGACATGGCAATGTCACAGCATTAGTGACCTGAACGTTTACTGAGTACAAAGTGTGTGCAAGGTGCTACGCTAAGTGTTCTCCACAGGTAGCTTGTTTCGTTTTCACAGTCGCCCTATAAGCCGAGTGCTCATATTATTGTGTGAATTACTCTCCTGGGGCTGCTGTAGCAGAGTACCACAGATGTGGTGGCTTAAAACCACAGAAATCTATTTTTTCATAGCTCTGGAGGCCAGAAGTCTGAAATCACAGTGTCGGCAGGCCCATGCTGCCATCAAGGACTCCAGGGGGAGGCTCCTTTCTTGCCTCTTCCAGCTCCTGGTGTCTCCATGCGTTCCTTGGCTTGTGGCTGCGTCCCTCCAGTCCCCTCCTGTGTCTTTGTGTGGCCTTCTCCTCTGTGTGTGTGTCTCTCTGTGTCCTCTCTTCTTATAAGACAGCAGTCATTGGATTTTGGGTTCACCCCAAATCCAGGATGGTTTCATCTTGAGATTCTTAACTGATGACATCTGCAACGACCCTATTTCCAATTAAGGTCACATTCTGGGGCTCCAGGTGGACGTGAATTTGGGGAGGATGCTATTCAACCTGCTACGCTCCATTTTATGCATGATAAAACAGAGGCAACAGACTTGCCCTGACTCGTGCAACTGGGAAGCAGTCCACACATTCGGAGTGGCATATAGTGAAGACGCTTGAAGGGTGACATAGACAGTAAGTCCCATAAAGTGAATATACGGTGGACTGGTGCTGAGACAGCGTGAAAATGGCAGCGGCAGCTGACAGGTTTTGTGTTATTTCCCCTCCATCCTTCCAATTTGATTTGCAGCTCTTGCCTAAGTCATCATTCCTGTGGCCCCTAAGACTTGGCCAGGAATTTGAATCTAAATATGTGCTCAGGATTGAGAAGAAATGTTTCTGGAGAAGGGAGCCGACAGGGAGGTTTCCCAATCCCAGGAGCACAGGAAGGAGGTACAAGAACCTGGAACCTTCTCGGCTCTGATATTGTCCAGTTCTCCCCTCTTCCCTCAGGGGCACTCGAGCCCACTGCTGCTAAAGCCTTGATGTGCGTACAAGTTCACCTAGGAGTCTGGTTGAAATGTACATTCCGAGTCTGTAGGTTTGGGGTGGGCCTAAGGCTCTGCATTTCTTTCCTTTTTTTTTTTTTAGATTTATTATTATTATTATTATTATTATTATTAGGGAAGGGAACAGTGTTAGGGAATTGGGGAAGGGGAATGTTGTGTTTTTCCAGGACCCATCAGCTCCAAGGCAAGTTGTTGTCCTTCAATCTTAGTTGTGGAGGGCGCAAGCTCAGCTCCAAGTCCAGTTGCCTCTTTCAATCTAGTTGCGGGGGACGCAGCCCACCATCCCATGCTGGAGTTGAACTGGCAACCTTGTTGTTAGAGCACATGCTCTCACCAGCTGAGCCATCCTGCCGCCTATTGGCAGCTCAGCGGCAGCTCCTCTTGGGCGCAGCTCACTGGCCCATGTGGGAATCGAACCAGCAACCCTGTTGCTCAGAGTGTGCGCTCTTAACCAGCTGAGCCACCCGGCCTGCCTGAAGACTCTGCATTTCTAATCAGTTCCCAGGAAGTGCTGAGAGAGGGGTCCTCAGGATCATTTCACCTGGGAGGACTAGTAAGTCATTGAAAGGTAATGTTACTGCCCTCTTTAGGGATGCAGAACAGCATAGCCCTTCAAATGATGAAAAGCGATACTTTTGGGATTCCTGTCACCCAGATCTTTCTTTCAATGTCATGTTAAGCCCCTAAACTGAAGACAACCAACTCAATTCATGATAAGCTGCAGCATTAGCCAGCCCAATATCTGAAGGCCCCGGTCTATCATCCATCTCTTGCATAGATCTGTGGACCCTGCATGACCCACCCCCACCGCCCCAACCTCTGACCCCACCTTTGCACACAGCATCCTCTTAAGTGAAAACCTGAATTTATAGGTGCTACACCAGCTGGATGGGTAATTCGGCTTTCTGAGGGGTGAATGCTGTGTTTGGCAAAAGTGTATTTATGTACACGATCTTTGGGGGTTGGGAGAGGATTGGACAAATTGTTTGTTTTGCTTTTTTTTCTTTTGGGCAGGGAGGAACAGTGTGTTTTTCCAGGACCCATCAGCTTGTTACAGTCTAGTTGTGGAGGGCGCATCTCAGTGGCCCATGGGGGGGTTGAACCGGCAACCTTGGTGTTATGAGCACTGCGCTCTAACCAACTGAGCTAAACTGGCCACCCCTGTTTTGCTTTTAATAAAGGATCAGGGAGCCATTTCTCAAACTTTGGTTTAGAGGCTCCAAAATAAAATATACTGAGGCTTGTCACCTGTTGGCTCTGTGGCCCCAAAGGAAATTTGGGTTAACCACACACAGGAGAAGGTGCAATTTAGCCACACGGGAGGGGAACCTGACAGTTGATCCAAGAAGGGGTACAACGTGTGAGTGTCTGAACAAACCTAGGTTTGGGGGATCTTTTGTTGACCTAAAGAGAGAGGCTTTGGGGCTGTCCACCCCCCACCCCTTCCCTTCCCCCTTTCCTCTTCTCAGGATGCTAGCTAGCACTGAAACCCTAGATTCTCCCTTGGAACAACTGCCAAGGAGAAGTGTGTAGTTTCACTCACCCAGGCGGGAACCCAACATGCCACTCTGTATCCCTCAGCTGCTGAAAATATGGACTTAATAAATCCCCCAAGATGGGTGTGCGTTTTGGGGGGGAAAAAGTTTCCTTCGCAAAGAAAACAAATGGATCGCTATGGCAACCATACAGCTCCTTATGTCCTGCTCAGATGCATTTAGAAATGCCATATGCATTTCTAGGGCAGACCTGTGGTCGACAGAATAATTGGCTCCCCAAAGATGCCTGTGTCCCAATCCGCAGAACATGTGAGCATGTTACCTTTTGTGGCAAAAGGGACTTTGCAGATGTGATTAAGGATTTTGAGATGGGAAGATTATCCTGGATTAGCCAGGTGGGCCCAATATCATCACCAGGATCCTTATAAAAGGGAGGCAGGAGGGTCAGACCCAGTAATAGGAGATATGATAACAGATGCAAAAGGTTGGAGTGATGCGGCCACAAGCCAAGGAATGCAAGTGGCTTCCGGAAGCTGAAAAAGCAAGAACATGGATTCTCCCCTAAAGTCTCCAGAAGGAACCAGCTGTGCCAACACCTTGATTTTTAGCTCAAGGCCATTTTGGACTTCGGGCCTCCAGAGCTGTAAAAAGATGCATCTGTGTTGTTTTAAGGCACTAAGTTTGTAGCAGTTTGTTACAGTAGCAATAGGAAATCCATGCTGCTATTTATGGTCCCATTGGACACCCTTGTCAGGCTGTATGCTAATTTTTTAATATAATCAATGTTATTATACATAGACGCCTATAGCAATAGAAGTAAGGAACGTGGACCGCGAAAGCTCGACTCTGAGTTCCAATCTTACATAGAGTAACCAACTCACCCTGGTTTGCCCAAGACTTTCACAATTTTAACATTGAAAGCTCTATGTTCCGGGAACCCCCTCAGCCTTGGGCCAACCAGGATAGTGGGGCACCCCAAATCTTAGCTGCATCACTTATTTAGCTGTGTGCCTTTGAGCAAGGTACTTAACTTTAACAAGTTTCTTAATCTGCAACATGAAAATGACAGGATCGTTGTGAGAACTAATTGGGTTAATATGTGCAACACTGCCTAGCCCATAGTAAATGCTCAATAAGTGTTAGCTTTTCTTATTCTATAAGACGAGGCGTGGTCCAGAAATTCCTGGAGTTGCTTCATTAGGAAAGAAATAATATTCGGGAAAATCTCAGGCCATGGCGTAACTATCTTACTTAAGGATTCGTCTTTCTTCACCTTCTTCTCTGATCCTCAGGGAGCCCCTCCATTCTCTCCGAGCCCATGAAGACTTGCTTCGTGGGGGGCAATGTGACGCTCACCTGCCAGGTGTCTGGAGCCTACCCCCGAGCCAAGCTGCTGTGGCTGAGGAACCTCACTCAGCCCGAGATGCTCATCCAGCCCAGCAGCCGTATTCTCATCACCGAGAATGACCAGGGCTCCACCCTCACCATCCGGAACTGCTCCCAGGACCTGGATGAGGGCTACTATGTCTGCCGGGCCGAGAACCCCGTGGGGGTGAGGGAAGTGGATATCTGGCTGAGTGTGAAAGGTCAGTGATAGGAGTAGCCCCAAAGGGGGCGGGTTGAGAGCGTCACAGGACCTGGCACCAGCACGAGGACAGCTTGGTGCTTCCTTATGTGTCGGTCACTGCCATCTGGGAGATGGCATAGCTGCTTGTCTGTGGTTTGACACGGTGGATGGCAAAAATTAATGCCCAGTCCCTCTACTATTTGCATAGGAATTTAAAAAATTAACATCTATAAAAAAATTAATATCTGCTCTATCCCAAAGAATCTGTCTATGCAAAATATATAAATATGAACTATATATTAAAATAAAAATATGTAAGTGGTGAAACATAATAGCCAAATGAACACCCAAGAAACCATCATCCCACTTAAGACACAGAAGAGGGCTGACGTTTCTAAAGTTACCTGTCGGTATTGGGGCCAGGTTTTCCTAACCACATCAAAAGTCAAAAAATAGGATACCCACTTGGATTTGCATTTCAGAAAAAGAAAGAATAATTTTTTTAGTATAAGTGTGTCACAAATAGTACACAAGGCAGACTTATTCTAAACATTTATTTGTTGTTTATCTGAAAACCAAATTTAAGTGGGCATCCTGTATTTTATTTGACAACCCTACCCATAGGTTCCTTTTTAGTCTCATTCTGGGCCTCCAAAAAAGAGAACCACTATCCTGAATTTCATGTTTTATTTTTTTTTAAGTTTTACTACATATGTGTACACTTCTAAATAATAGGTTGTTTCTTTTTATTTGTTTTTGAGTTTTCAAAAATAGTTGTGACGATACAAATATAGTCTTTTGTGACTTGTTTTTTTCTCTCTACATTTTCTTTCTAGGATTTATTCATGCCGATGTGTAGTTATACTTTGTACCTCTTTACAACTGTATAATTGTCCATTGTATCACTATTACACAACTAAGTTACTGATTTTCCTGCTCATGGACATTTGTATTCTTTTTTTTTTTTTTTTTGCTGTGATGAACAGCATTGCTATGAAAATATTTTACCCCAACTCCAGTATATGTATATACACGCTGGGTACCCCAGGCAAATATTTCTCTAGGATTGTTCAAAGAGTAGAAATGAAGGGCTATAGGTTATCTTTATGAGATAACTAAATTATTTTCTTTATGAGATAACCAAATTATTTTCCAAAGTGATCGTATCAATTTCCACTGGTTATAGCAGTACGTAAGAGTTGTTTCACATTTTTACCCACAGGCTTTGGGATCTTTGTCCACCAAGTAGGTGTAAAATGGAATCTCACTGTGGTTCTAATTTGAATTTCTCTGGTCACTAAGACGGTTGAGTTTTATTTCCTATGTTTATTTGCTATTTGTATTTCTTCCGTGAAATTCACACCTATTTGCATCTTTTGATATTTACCCCTTTCTTATAGATATATAGTCATTCTTTAGAAATTCTGCAAAGCCATTTCTGGTTAGTTTTATGTGTTCCAAATATCTTCTCTGAGTTCCTTTGTCTTTTTCACTTTCTGGTATCTTTTGATTAGCATTCTTCCTTTAATGTAGTTGATTTTAAGAATCTCTTCTTATATTATTAGCAATTTTTGTGCTTTAACGTCCTTATCTGTCCCGCAGTGACAAAAATATTCTACCATATTTTCTTCTAAATGTTTTAACATTTTGCCTCTCACAGTTAAATCTTTAATCCATCTAGAATTGATTTTTGTGAATGGTGTGGATCAAGTTTTTCTCCCCCTTCCCCCAATTTGGGATAACCATTTGTTCCAGCACCATTTCTTGACTAGTTCCTCTTTTACTCACTAATCTGTCACATATCCAGTTTCCTTTTATGTGTGAGCCTGTTCTTGGATTGTCTAATCTGTTCCATTGATCACAGTTTACTGTGGCACCAATAACTCACACTCTTAATTACTATGGCCGTATAGTCTTGGTGTGTGGTAGATACCTAGAGATTTTAACTTCCCACGGTCTGCATCGCATGCTTCATTTGATTCCCACTGTCTGAGGTAGGGAAATGAGATATTTATCTTGCTTTAAAGAAAAGTCATATGCCTTGCCCAACATCATGAAACCAAGATAAGACTAGAACTCAGGCAAAGGGGTGGGGGTCCAGGTATGGCTCCCCTAGTTGCATATGTGGCAGGTAGAAGAGTCAACAGTGTGATTTGTCGTTCCAGAGCCTTTAAACATCGTGGGAATTGTGGGAACCATCGTGAGCCTCCTTCTGCTGGGACTGGCTGTGATCTCAGGGCTTATGTTGTATTACAGCCCTGTGTTCTGCTGGAAATGTAAGGACTCCTTGGGCACCTCTGCTTTTCTTTCAGGCTCTTTGAAAAGGTGGGGGTGGGGGAAGAAGGCCCAGCTACGCTCGCACCTGTAGTCCCATTCTGTAGGCTTCGTCATTGGGTCCGAATTGTCATAATGAAACCCCAAGTACCATTCCATAACACCCCCATCATCTCTCATGTTGGATCTGTTTTCTCATTGACCATTCTCTTGTAAATGTTAGATGGATTCAAAGCTTTTGTGAAGCTGAAGTGGGTATTATTTGATACTAATTTTTCTTTTTCCTTTCTCCCTTTAGTAGGAAACACTTTCAGGTGAGTGTTCCCAAGACTCAAGTCAAAACCCCATTTCCATGATCTGTGTTCACTGCTGTTTTGTGTCCTTTCATGAGAACAATAATAGCAACTGCTATGGAGGGCCCACCACCTGGGGGCTTCATGAGGCATCATTATAAACCCTTTCATCAACTCTTCAGGGTGGAGGTGGCATCTCCATTTTCAAGACCAGGTGATGGAAGCTCAGTGAAATAAGGGCATTTTGCAAGCTCATCCAGGAAGTAAATGGCAGGGCTTGCACTTGGACCTACCTAGGTCTGACTAATTCCACACAAAGTCTGTGCTCTTTTTACAAGGCCAGACCTCAGGGTGGGGTACATTGTTGGGCTGTCACTGAGGCATAAAGACAGTTTGTATGTACTGAACTAGTCATTCATGCATTTATTTTAACCTAATTTTTTAAAAGTAGCTCAATAGTCTGACAGCATGTTTGGGAAAATGAGTCTGAGCATGCCTCGAAGACCCTCCCAGAAGGAAACCTCAGTACTGCCAAAGTAGCTAAATGGAATTTGTATATTTTGTTTTCTAAGGAGATTCTGAGTGGGAGCAAAAAACTCTTCTGTTCTTTACCCATTCATAAAGATTGGTTATCTTTGTTCTGGGACCATCATTCATAATGAAGGGATATTATTGTCCCGGGACCATCTTTCATGGGAAAAATCTTACCTTTACTGCTATATATTTGAGGGCCATTCTCCCAGTGAGTCTGTGTTGTTCCCTAGGCTGATTTCTCCCAGGAGGTAGCAGGGAGGCACAGTGGGAAAAGATTTTGGAATTAGTGAACCTGGGTTTAAACTGTAGCTCTGTAGCTCTGCCTTTCCCAAGCCCTGTGCTCATGGGAGATCCCTGACCCTCTCTGAGCCTCTGTCTCCTCATCTATTTGCCAGAGGGAGACTGTGGGGCGGGATTGAATGAGAAGGTAATGCTCCTAGGACTGTGACTGGCCCATGGCATGTGTTCTCTCTTTAAGAAATGAACTGTCTGGCTGGATAGGCAAACCCAGCAATAAACTAAGAGCAATTAAATGCTGAACCGCTGGGCATGGACTCCAAATGCAATGGTAGCGCAGGGCTTCAGGGGTAAGGAAAGGACTTCACCTGGCCCTTAAATAATGAGGAGAAGGAGAAAATTCAGTTAGTGGAGCAGAAAGAGGGCATTTCAACAAAGGCACAGAACATTTGTGTGCATGCTATGAGGGGAGCAAAAATGGTAGGTGCCTGGGGCAATGAGGCCACCTATCCCCTAGTTGCAGGGGGAGAATAAAATTCACTCAGGACCAGATAAGATTATCTGTAGCAATCAGTGGCAGTATCTCTTTGAGAGATTACAATCTGTCACCTCATGACTTAACCAAATTGAATGCAGAAAGAATTTTCCATGTTACCCAAGGGGTTTTCAAAGTTAATCTAGTGTTTTCTATTCAGCAAGGGCTGATGTTGGAAAAAATTAAACAGAGCCTCTTGTTGATTATGTCTCCCCTTTTCGAAATTAGGGGGCAAGACATGGGTGATGTCATGGTTTTGGTGGAATCGGAGGAAGAGGTGGAGGAGGAAGAAGACGCTGCCGAAGAGGAGGAAGAGGAGGAGGAGGAAGCGAATGAGAGGGAGGAATTGCCAAAAGAAATACACAAGCACGGCCACATTCATAGAGTGACCGCACTGGTGAACGGGAATGTAGATGTGATGGGCAATGGACTGCAGGCTTTGCAAGGTGAGCTCTTTCTCCTTAGCAGCGCTCTGCTGGATTGTGGAAGGTAGTTCAAGTTTAATCTGGAAACGAAGAACCTACTGTCCACTTCCAACACAGCAATTAAATGGACAAAATTGACCAAAGGCCTGCTCTGGGAAAGGCACTGCTGGAGAATAGACAAGACCAATAATATCTGCATAGAGCAGCGGTTCTCAACTTGTGGGTTGCGACCCCTTTGGGGGTCGAACGACCCTTTCACAGGGGTCGCCTAAGACCATCGGAAAACAAAAAGATATTCACATTACAATTCATAATAGTAGCAAAATTACAGTTATAGAGTAGCAACGAAAATAATTTTATGGTTGGGGGGTCACCACAACATGAGGAACTGTATTAAGAGGTCGCAGCGTTAGGAAGGTTGAGAACCGCTGGCATAGAGGGAGCATGATGAGACTAGGTAGGGTGAACAGACCAAAAGGTGGGGAAAATTAAAACAGAGGCAAACTTGAACCAACACCTTGAGAGACCAGTAGAGATGCTGTAGCAAGGAGGAATCTGATGAAATGCCCGATGGGGGATATGTGTAAAAATTACAGGACCTCAGGAGAAAGAGATCCTTGAGGGGTACATTGGTCAGGAGATGCTTAGTAGAAGAAGTGGGATATGAGGCAAGTCTTTCAGGACAGTAGAGCTTGAATGAGCACAAAGGAGAGAGGGCTTTCCAGGTGAGGGGAATGGCATGGACCAAGGGTAGCACGTCTAGAAGATGTTGAGTGGAAAGAACAGGTGAAAGGTCAACACACAGTCTACTCCACTTGTTCCTCCTTGAAATTTGATTCCAAGGGTCACCAGTAAAGGACTAGACATCGAGATGATTGAAGACTGGTGGTGGAAACAGGGTCACCTCTATTTTTTTTTTTTTTTAGCTGAGCCATCCTGCCACCTGTTGGCAGCTCAGCGGCAACTCAGCTCGGGCTGGACTCGAACCGCTGTTGCTCAGAGCTCAAGCCCTTGAGCGAGCTCTTAACCAACTGAGCCACTCGGCCAGCCCCTCACCTCTATTGAGATGACTTAGTCAGAACTACTTTTCCCTCCTGTACAGATGACAGCAGTGAGCAGCAGAGCGACGTCGTTCAAGAAGATGACAAGCCAGTTTGAAGAAAACTGTCCTTCATTATCCTGTCTTAAAAGCTTGGAAAACTATGGTGAAGATGAACTTTTCTTTCTGCTTTGACTTGATTTGCACCCCTGCCTGAGGGCGTAAAATGGTTTGGGGCTCTCAGCAAAAAAGAAACACACACACACACACACACACACACACACACCCCTTTCCTTCCATTTTTAAAAAAATTGATGATTTGATTTGTTGTAACTTTTCTCAGTGTTAAAAAGCTTTGGGAACTGGCAATGTGTTGGGGAAAGCTGCCTTTGGCAACTGAGGTGCCCTCTTCGCTGTGGCTCCTGGCTTTCTCCAGGTTGACGGATGCTGATTTTGTGGAGAGCCAGAGTGGGAGGAGGCCCCTGGCCTCAGTGCCCTTTGCCACTATGAAAGGTCTGTAACCAGCTTAACCTCAGCACACCAGGGTCTAGTGTGGGGCGATCGGGGCACTTCCTATATCGCTGCCCAGGTAAGCTGAGGAACCAGGTAAAAATGTCAGCTCACTGGAAAAGGGGAGGAGGTGTCAGCTACTGATGCTAGGCAGAGGGAGGCAGTTTGGTTTAGGGTGTGGAGTTGGAAACATCTGGGCTTGAATCTGGGTCCTGCTGCTTCCTTGTTTCATGGGCTTGGGCACGTTGCTTTACCTCTCCCCTGGACCTCAACTGCCTCATCTCCAAAATAGATGAAACCACACCTACCTTCCGGGGTGACGGTGAGGACTAAATGAGGCACTTCTGGATGTGAAAGTGCCTAAGAGGTGCTCAATAGATGTTATTCTTTATCTCTTCCTTTGCCTCCCCCAGTGGAAGAAAAAAATGTCAACTCTAAGTTGCAAGCTATCGCCTGGGCCTTTCATTCTTCTTTTGTAGAATGGTTTCGGATGAGGGTATTATCAGAGCTCTCCTGACTATTTTTGCTTCCCTGGAGATATAATTCTTTTCAAAAGAGGTAGGGGCCCGTAAGAGGAAGTGCCTTTCATTAGAACCTCACATTTTGCAGGGCCTCGTATTTATACAAAAGCCTCTTAGGTGAAACACTATGAGCTTTCATTCTTTCTTTCCCCTTCTCCCTTTCTCCTTTGCAAGAAAACAGGAGAAATGTTTTGTAAGGGAGTATCTGGTGGTTAAGTACTCCTTGGGCAGACCAGTTCATCTGGCCTCAGTTTCTTGATCTCAGAAATGGGAACGGGAAAACGTTTCCTTCCTCCTTCCTAAGGATATTATGATACACTGATCAATAATGCTAAGTTTCACATGAAAAATAACCTGTGATGCGATTAAGCTGCTGATGACTTCCCGTTGAACCCTGTACCGTTTAGAGATTCCCCCCCCCCGCCCCCCACAATTTCAAATCTCTTTTAAATGCCAGGGGCCTTATAAGGGTGCAAAGCATAAAAAATCTGACTTCAATTTGCAGTCTTCAGTGTCGCATGTCCTGCTTTGATGGGCAAGACTACGGCTTAAAGATGAACTTTGCCTCTCTCCAATCACAGGGACTGGGTGGGACTCCTGAGATACAAGCTCGTGATCTGCATGGTTACCCTGAAGGTGTTCTTTGGGTTGGTCGATTTTCTTGAATGAAGGGACCAAACTGAGCACATCACTAGAAGTGAGCCCTGTCCCCAGCTCAGAACACTAAGTAGGGAGCTCAGGAACTGGCTGCAATTCTGTACCCCTAGGATTAGCTGTGAGCTGCAGTTCTCCTTGTTGGGCTGGGTGTCTTTCTGCGTGTTACCTCATGTACTTAACCACTCTAGCCAGTCTAAGTGTCCCTTCACTCGGACAGGTTGCTTCTGAAGTCACTGAACACGGAGCTAATATCTCCTTTAGACTCTTTGATGATGATTCTATGCCTGAATCTGAGCATCCACTATGCAGAGGCAACCCTATTTTTTTTTTTTTAAAAAAAGACACTGTAGGGGAAAATAATTCCTGGCTGAGAACGCTGAGAATGATTTGCAAGATCACGGAGATGCTTTCTGCCAACTTCCTCTTCCCTTGCACACGCAGCTGATAGGAAATCTTTGAGGCAGGTTTTTTCCACTAGCAAACGGGTGCTTCGAGGTCTGGATGCCAAACACTAGAAACCCTTGACTTAGCTGAGCTGTGACTGCTGTCACTTATATCTGAGCCCTGTGTACACATTAACATGGCTGGGTCAGTTAAGAGCCCAGGACCGGGGGGCTGGGGTGGGGGGGGGTCTTCACGTTTTAAGAATTTTTAAAGAGTTAGGGCTTTTATCTTTCAAGGTGACCCATCCCCCAATCCATAAGCATGTTGACAGTGGGTTACAGACTTTGTGTGGCAAAGTCCAAGTGGTTACCTTGTGCTTTTAAAAAAATCTTATCTGAATCTATCATGAACTCAGAGACCAGGAGATCTCTCTCCTTATCAGAACCAGGAAAAGAAATACTTCAGGGCTATCGCAACGGATATTTCTTTTTCTCAATACCCGGTGGACACATTGGGGAAGGGGTGCTCACAATCCTGTGGCTTTATTAGCTCCAGGTTCTCACAAGCACATATGAGGCCCTATGACTGCAGCAGGAAAACACATGATGGAAAATTTCCATAACCCATGCACTGACATCTGGAAAATCATCCTTGCTGGGTACAATTTATTATGATGTGATAAGTGCCAACTGGTATTTCTCACCATGGCCAGGAACTGCTGCAAAGGAAAATAAGCAGATCCCTCTGCGTTATTTACAGTTTAATATTTGGTGTGGGGGAGGTGAGTTGGGAGAACTTCATCTGAGGTGATAATATGCATTTTTTAAAGATTATGGAATAAAGCTATTTTTAAATAAATGCTTTAATGAGCTTGACTGAGACTTGATTAGTAAATGGAAAGATTTGGAAAAATGGGTTTCCCTCCGTTTTTTTTTTGTTTTGTTTTTTTTTCATTGTCCTCGTTGCCATTTTACTCTTTTCCACGACTTGTAGATGCTTACACCTCTTAACACCGCCTGAGACAACTGTCACCTTTCCTCATCTCCCTGAGAAACTTGTTCTTCCATTTTTTTCCTCCCTGCATATGCCCCTTTCTGGTCAGGCTGCAGGCTCTGGAACATTAAAGGGCTCAGGTAGGAGTCATTGTGGAGAACACAGGACTGATGGACTGAGAAAAGACCATTTATATCAGCGGTCCGGTCCCTGTAATTGCTGGTGACTTTGGAGACTTGCACTGGGCCACCAGCTGATTGTCATCCCCGCAATGTCTCCCCTCACCGCCCACTTGAGGTTGCCCAATTCCGTTCCCTTTTCCTGTGCTAGGCCTTTCCTCTTAGCTCACTCCTTTCTCCCCTTTCTTTACTTCACTCCAAACTCACCCCTCCCTCAGGCTCTTGAGCAAAGCTGTCCCATTTTAAACGGACTTCCTTTCTAACCAAACCCATGTTTCCTACCTTAACCTGTTTCCCATGTTTTTGGTTTTTTTTTAAACCCAGGCCCTCCATTTTAATAAGTGTGTGTGTGTGTGTTTAATCCAAATCTGTCTTCTGAGGCCCCGTTTTACCTCTGCCTGTTTTCACTTCGGTCCCCTCCCGTCCACGAAGACCTCTTTCTGGGTCCCCCTTGGCCTCAGCCCTCCTGGGTCAAACCCGTTTACCCAGCTTGCCCATGTTTTGGAACCCCTACTCGTTTTCGACTCCCCGTTTTCACCGCCCATGTTAACTTTGGCATGCCCGGTTCACCCTCCATTTTCCACTGGGCTTTTCTTTTTCTGGTTCCCATTTTTTTTTTTAAGTGGCCCTGCGTGCTCCTTTCTCGTCCCCTATTTCACCCCCAGCCCCTGTGCTGGCTGCTCTCTACCTGGGCTCCCTCCCAGCCTCGTCAGGTCCCTAATTGGATTCTACAGCCTCATTGCTTGCCCTCCCTTTTTTAACACCCCTCGGGTGTTCCTGGGACCCCCCCCCCATCCCTCAATTCTCTCCTCAGTCTTGGCTTTTTGTCGCCCCAATTTCCCTGATCCCCTAGTGTCTTCAGGTCCTTATTTTTATTCGTCTCCTTCCTACTCGCTCCCGCCTCAGTTTTTACCTGACCCCCCCCACCGCACCCCCATTGTCACCGTGCTCCACCTCCCCCCGTGTTCTCCTCAGCGTCCCTCTGCTCCCCTCCCATCACCTCGCTTTTACCGGGTCGGCATTCACCTGACCCCCTTTCTGCGTTCCCCCTTCTTCCCCCCTTCCCGGGTTTTTATCCCACGCACGTTCACCTGCCCCTGCCCCCCGTTTTCCCTCAGCCCCGCTCCCCGCTCCCCGCTCCGCCTTCTCCTCAGCCCCATTCTCCAGCGCCCCGATCGCGCCCAGCCCCGTCCC